AAACATACACGGGCTCCCTTCCCACCTCCCCCACCCCCACCATCTCCACCACTTGTGCTTCAACTCATCTCTAAGTGCAGCCTCCACCCTCAGGAGCCAGGGCTGGGGGTGCCCATGGGGGTCTCAGCCCCTCCAGCATCTCATGCCACTCAGGCCCCCAGCAAAGGCCCCGAATGCCCCAAGATCCAACTGCTTTTCCCAGAGCCTGGAAAAGAAAAACCATTCCCACAGCTGGACATTATCCCTCTCCAGGTCTCCCTCCTGGGCTTTCCATCCCTTGAGTCACCAACCCCCCCAATCTTCCCTCCACCCTCTCTCTCCCTGTATCACATGCACAGGACTGTGACTTTTTTTTTTGTTCTTTTCTTTTTTTTAAGCTTTTTTTTTCAATTTTTTTTTGTTTTTTTTGTTTTGTTTTGTTTTGTTTTCAGTTGCTGGTAAAGTCAGTTACACTCCCAGCTGTGCTATATTGTAAATACAGCTTCTAGGATGGTCTCCGTGGTGGAGACCAGACAGTGATCAAGGCACTACCCCCACCCCCCTCCTGAAAACAAAGGAAGTCAGACCAACACCTGGGGACAGAAGAGAATCCTATAATGTGATCACACGGTTACACGGAATCTTTTATGGCAAAGAGAACATTTAGCAGCTTTGAACATTTTTGGGCTTCTCCCTTTTTTTTTGTTTTTACTCCACACAAGCACTCTAGACCCTATGGGGGGGGGGAAATAAAACAACAAACCCCAACAACACAAACAAACAAACAAACCAGGGGCTGAAGCCCTCAAAAAATCATCCCAAGCGTGGATAAGGAACAGGAATCCTACCAGTTATAGGTGACCAGCTCCCCCCCACACAACTTCCCTGCTCCTCTTGTGCTGTATGAAGACCTGAGGGGTGTGGGGTCCAAACCAGCCCCTCCACGAGCAGATTTTTTGGGGGAGAAATGGCATTTCCATGCAGGCTGCTGGGTGTGCCCACGTCCCAGCACGGCAGGGACATCCGAGTGTGGTGGTGGGAGAGGAGGGGATTGGGGGGGGGGGAAAACACTTTGCATGAACCCTGGGCTCTCTTCACCCTCTCCAGTTCCACACACACACCCCCTCCCCACCCCAAAAATACCACCTACATGCCCTCCCCTTCCCCCCCACCCTGAGGTGTCACAGCCTCTTCCAGACGTACAGTTTTTTTTCTCCTGGTTCTGCCTCTGAGCTTCCTGGAGCCTGGAAAGGGTTAATGGGAGTCGCACCACTTGTGTTTTCCACGTGTGCACTGGGCTGATCTAGGAAGGGATGGTGGTTAATCTGGAATTAAGTCAGATGGAATCACACACACACACACACACCGATGGCAAAACTGGGGCAGGAAAAGGGAAAAAAAAAAAAACAACCAACAAAACAAAAACGATACAACAACAAAAAATAATAGAAAGGGAAAAAAATAAAATAAACCAACTACCTGAAATCACAGAACTTTGGAAGTTCAGAAAAATGTCTCTCCTATAACTTGTTTTTAAGTTCATTTGCTTAAACCTCTTTTTTTTTTTTTCTCTTATATTTAAAGCCAGTTCCTAACAGTAGTTTTTGTTTTTCCACCTCTGCCCATCTCACCCCCAGCGACACCAGCTCCTTTCCTGCTCTCCCGAGGATTCCAGGCGGTGGGAAGTGCCGGGCTGGGCTGGGCAGGGTGGGCTCCTCCCACCCCCTCCCCCGCGGGGAGCCCCCCCATCTCTCCCACACACACACACTGACCGGCAGCAGTTTTGTTTTAGTTTCGTGGTGGTCGTTTCTCTTTTTTGTGTGTTTGTTTTGTTCTGTTCTTTTTTGTTTGTTTGTTTTTTGAGAAGATACGGATAAGAAGGCATGAAAAGTTCCTCTGAAAAGTACTTCCCGGCTCTGCCCTTTCTCCAGTTCTCACTTTGAGGGAGTGTCCCAGCTCCTCCCACCTTCTCCATCCCTTCACTTCCTCCGATCCTTCTGTTTCCTCTCCTGCCTCCGGGCCTGCTGATCGGCCACAGCCCGGGGTATCAAGAGGACGCTCCCGTCGCTCCCGTATTGCAGGGCGTACTGGCTGGGGGGGTAGGGCTGCCCATTCTCATCCCGCAGGCGCCCAAACACCTCTTGGTAAAGGTTCTGCACTTTCTGTTTCATCTGGCGGATGGATTTGAGGAATTCCACTTTCTCCCTGAGCAGTTTGGACTTGTCCCGTTGGAGATCCTCCACGTCCCGTTCCAGGTTGAGGATGGTGTCCAGTTTCCTCTTGCGGCAGTTCTGGGCAGCCATCTTGTTCTTCCCTCTTCTCCGGATGTCTCGGATCAGGCTGAGCTGAGCCTCGCTGAGCTGGTACTTGGAGAGGAGCTCGTTGAACTCCTCCACGGGCAGGTTGATGATCTTGTCGTTGGTGAAAGGGATTTTCATGGCCCTGGCTCGATGCTCGTCCCGGCTCATCTGTTTATCCAGGAATTCCGACGGTTTCTCCTTGCTGCTCTTTTTCCCCGCGCTGGGAAGTTTGGGCTCCTCGGGATCCAGGGCTCCCGGGGCCATGTTGTAGGTGTGGTTGTGGCCGACGTGCTCCAGGTAAGGCAGGTAGTGGAGCTGTGAGGGGTCCTGGTAGCTCATGCGGCAGAACTTGCTGTACTCGGGCTGGTAGCCAACTGCCCCTTCTGCTTCCTCAAAGTCCACGTTTTCCGAGTCTGAGCTGTAGCCCACAGCTCCTTCCTCAGAAAACGAGGAGGAGGAAGAGGACGAGGAGGATGAGGAGGAAGAGGAGGAGGCTTCTGAGCTGCTGAGAGAAGCAGGACTGTGGCCAGAATCCAGAGAAAGACCTGAGTCGGAATCAAACTCCTCTTCCAGCTGCGAGGCCTGCACCGGGTTGAAACCTTCTTCGATGGCCAAGTCCATCAAGCTGATCTCATCCAGCATGGCCTCGTCCAGCAGCCCGCCCAGCGGGTCTGGCAGCTCGGGGCCTGCTGTCTCGTTCACTGTGCTGTTCAGCTGCGGAGGGAAGAAGATGCCACTCAAGTTGGTGGAGCCAAAGGTGGTGTTGAGGCCGGTGGAGTTGTCCGGCGTCAGCTGGAGCAGAGCTGAGCTGCTGGCCATGGAAGGGCTTTCGATGTCAGAGCTGAAGAGGGGGAAGTCCTGGGAGCAGCTCCCCAGCGAGGCCTGATGCAGGCTGACGTTCTGATTGATGGGGGTGCTGGGAGCCAGGCTGTAGTTGGAGGTCAGCAGGTCCCTGCTCGTGCTGTTGTACAGGGTTTCTGCAGTCGTGTTGTTCACTTCCATGGCCTGGAAGAGACGGGGAACAGCTGGGTGAATGAGCCCTGACCTTGCTCCTGGCCAAAACCAGGGAGGACAGGCCTTCCAGATCCCACGGAAGGAGCTCACTGGCTGCAGGAGGGTTAAGACAGAAGCAGCAACTGGGCAAAAACCAACACCCCTGCTGCCCAAGAACAGAAGGCTGGGACAACCACGGCACCTCGTGATCCAAGGGAACAGCGACGGACAAACACCTTCCCCAGCCCCTCCTGGAGCTCACCTGCATTTCCATGATGGACATGAGGTCCTGCCACTGCTGCTCCAGATCGAAGGGCGACTCGGTCTCGGGGAGGAGAGGAGAGAGCAGGCTGGGCTGGCCAGGGGTGGCCCTGCTCTCGCTGGGCACAGCTTGGCTCAGGGTGGAGACATCCGCAGCTGGAAACTGACCACGTGAGGCAGAGTCAGTCCCTGGCTGAGCAGGGACCAACAATCCCCAACGCCCTTCCAGGCCGGGCGGGCGATGGCTTCTCCTTTGCTCAAAGCAAACTGGTTGCAGTTATTCCTCCACAGTTCACTATCAACTCAATTAGAAGCAAAGCCAGAAGACTTGTAATTAATTGTGACCACCCCCACCCCTTCCACACACCACTCCCCCCC